CTGTGAAGGCCTCGCCCCCAGGCGCAGGTGTGGGGCACCCCAGAGGAGCACACGGCACATGCGTGTGGAATGAGCTTCAACGTGAAGGACTCTTTTGATTTCATAACATTTTATTTTTGTAATAAAACTGACTCATTATCATATAAATACATATGATTTCTTTTTTCTTTTTTTTTTTTAATATATCTTTATTGATTTCAGAGAGAGGAATGGGGAGGGAGAGAGAAAGATAGAAACATCAATGATGAGTCATTGGTCGAACCCGCAACCCGGGCGTGTGCCCTGACCGGGAATTGAACCCCGATCACCTGGATCCTAGGTTGACGCTCAACCGCTGAGCCACGCTCGGCCGGGCACATACGATTTCTTAAACCTCTTTAGGACACCCCAAATAAACTCACTAGTGAAAAAAATCTTTTTATATTTTTGTCACAATCGGTGTGTCAATTTTTGGTTCAGAAATGCAGTTGCCCCCTTGTGCGCTGCCACAAGGAGGGAGAGTGCCCTGCCTGCAGACCAGGCTCGCACTGGGATTTGTTGCCTGTGCCTCAGCCCCAAATGCCATACCTGTGGCCTCCGGTGGCCAGTTGACCTGTGGCGCCCCTGACACCTCCTCTCGTGTTCACTCACCCGGTGTTGCTTCCAGTGGGGCGGGGGCCTCCCATCCTGGAGCTGTGATGGCCTGGCAGCCACGCAGGATAACCTGGCTTCTGGTTTCTTTCTGTGGCTCACGGCTCAACACTCTGAAGGCTTTTGCCTCAGTGAAGCTGTCATTCTGCTCAACTGGTAAAACACACGATTGGATCCCAACTAATGTGGGCCCGCATCTTCCTCTGAGAAGGTCAGAGGCCAACTAGTTAATGATTCATTTGAACTGACCTGCTTTTCAGACGTCACTGTACTGCTCCAAGTAAGTTCTGATAGTGTGTTTTAAATATATACACACACACACCCACACACACACACTGATTTAGAGAGAGAGAAACGTCAATGATGAGAGAGTCATTGATCGGCTGCCTCCTGCACGCCCCCTGCTGGGGATCGATTCCGCAACCCGGGCATGTGCCCTGACCGGGAATGGAACTGCAATCTCCTGGATCACAGGTTTATGCTCAACCGCTGAGCCACGCTAGCTGGGCAACATGGGCTGTTTTGAGGTGCAAATGAAGCTGAGTCAATTCAGGAAGATGTCAGGAACTACTCGTCTTTCTTGTACCGGCACTGATGTGCCAGCCTGAGTTTGCTACGGTGACACTGCACGTGGGTGAGCTGTCAGAAGCCTGGTCCTACATCTCAGTCTCACAGCACTGACCCGGAGCATTAAGTCTGTTTATATTTAAAGTAGTTATTGAGAGCCTGGCTGGGAGCTCAGTTGGTTAGAGAGTCGTCCTGAACGCCAAGGTTGCAGGTTCCATCTCCAGTCGGGACATACAAGCAACCAATAAATGCATACATAAGTGGCACAACAAATGGATGTTTCTCTCTCCTCCTCCTCTATCTAAAATCAATAAATAGTTATTGATAGGTATATCTTTATTGCCATTTTTTGTTTTATAATTGTTTTTGTAGTTCTGTTCCTTCCTTATTCTCATGCTCTTATGTTGCTGGCTTTCTATAGTGTTGCGGTTGAATTCCTTTTTTTCTGGTATCTCTCTCTTTTTTAAAGTATGTTTTTATTTTTTTATTGATTTCAGAGAGAGGAAGAGAGAGGGGGAGAGACAAACATTGATGAGAGAGAAACATCAATCGGCTGCCTCCTGCAGGTCTCCCACTGGGGATTGAGCCCGCAACCCGGACATGTGCCCTAACTGGGAATTGAACCAGTGACCTCCTGGTGCATGGGCTGACACTCAACCAAGTGAGCCACACTGGCCGGCTGGTATATCTCTTATATACCAAATTTTTGGTTTGGGATATGCATGTATTTCACATATACCTAGCTTGGTTTATAGCAGTCTATTTTAAGTTGATGGACACTTAAATTTGAATACATTTTAAACTCAATACAATTTTTACTCACAGCTCCCGTTTGTTTTTGTTGGGTTTTTTTGTTTTTTGTTTTACCTCTTTGTGTGTGTTTGTGAATGTCCCTTAATTTATTGTTGTAGTTACACATGCTCATTTTTACTTTTCTTTTATCCTTTGTACTAGCTTTATAATTTGTTGATCCATTCCTTTTACAGTGAGCTATTTGTCAGTGAGACATTTTTCTCTCTGTATTTTCTTTTTATTTTTGATTTCTACTCTTAAAAGTTCTTTTAATATTTCTTGTGTTGCTGGTTTAGTGGTGATGAAGTCCTTTTGCTTTTTCATCTCTGGGATGAACATAGCACTTGTCCTCTACTGATAGAGAAGCTAAATTAAGAGCTTGATTTTATGGTACTAGAGATAAGCTCTGAGCCCAGCCACCACTTTTGCTTACATTTGGCCACTTAATTCCAACTATATTCCAAGCCATGCATTGCCACCATTTATGCAAGACTTGGGGCCACCTCAAGGGAGTTAAAACACAAGTTGAGATCAATCGCCACTTGTTTGGGCTTGGAGCAGCCTGGCAATAGGGATGAGCACACTGAGGCCTACCACTGCTTGTTTGGGGTTTGTGGAAATTTGAGAGATATTAGGAAAGTTCACACCACAAGTGGAGGTAGACCACTTGTGTGGAACAGCTACTACTGGGAGAGGCTTGGGCTAGTGTGTGTGTGGGGTGGTACAGGGAATCACCAGGGCATGGTGAAGTGATACTCAGGTTAATAGAGCGCTCAGATTTGGTGTCTGTCTGCAACTGGCTGGCTGTTTGAGAAGAGTTCAACAAAAGAACAATGGCATCTGCCAGCACTTCTGTCCCTGAGACTGCTTCCCTGACCCATGTCCTGTCCTGTCCTTACCCTGAAACTGGTTAATTTAGTTCCTTCCTATTTTCCTTGGCACTTTTGAGCTGATGCTCCTGTACTGAGATCCTGAGCCAGTGAGGTTTTGAGCAAGTGCATCTCTATATGGTCCCTTTAATACCTGCAGTGCCTAGGTCTCCTGCAGCCCTCATCTCAGTGGCATGTCATAATCCCAACCAGCTGTTATGGGGACTCCCCTTCCTGGTATTGGTGCCCCAGACTTAAGCACCTGGTGTGGGGTTGAGACTCCTCAATTCTTAGGGCAGAACTCCAGGGCTAAAATATCCCTCTCGATTGTCTGTGAGTGTGGGACCTGCCAGTTCAGCATCTCTGCCCATTCTACCAGTCTTGAAATGGCTTCTTCTTTATATCCTTTATGTACTTTTTTTTTTTTAGATTTTTATTGATTTTTTTGAGACAGACAGGGAGGGAGGGGGGAAAGAGAGAGAGAGAAAGAGAGAGAAAGAGAGAGAGAGAGGAGAAACATCAATGTGAGGGTGAAACTATTGCCTGCCCTTGCATGCCCCCTACCAGGGATTGAGCTCACAACCCAGGCATGTGCCCTGACTGGGAATTGAACCAGCAATCTTTTGGTGCACAGGACAATACCCAACCAACCGAGCCACACAGACCAGGGCATTGTACTCTCTTGAGGGTGGTTATATCCTTTATAGAAATATAGGAATTCTGTTCAGCTAGTTTTCAGGTGGTTCTCAAGGATGGCTATTGTATAATTTAATTGTAATTTTGGTGTGATCATGGCAGGAGGTGAGCAGAGTTTACCTATTCTACCATCTTGACTGGAAGTCAGGTTGAAGCTTTTAAAATAGGTAAATACATCCCTTTCACAAAGACTTGTGTTTTATTCAGCTTCGTCTGCACTGTGCCCGAGGGGAGTAGCCACAGCCAGCTGGCTGAGACTTTTAAGAACTATATCTCAGTTCCCTATAGCCTTGTGAATCTCATGGACATAAGCCCCACTGTTTTCAAAGCTAGATGTTTAGGGGCCCCATCTCTCAGGTGCAGGACTTAAAAGATGGGGTGCCAGATGTGAAGCTCAAACACTGCACTCCTCAGGGAGAAGTTCAGAGATGTGAGTTCCCACCTGATTGTGGGTCCCAGTGCCATGGGTGGGATGTGTAGAGAGATTGTGTCTCATGCTCTCCTACCCATTTCAAGTGGGTTTTTCTCCACCTAATGTGTAGAAGTTGGTCTCCCAGTTTTTGGATTTCTTTCAGAAGGAACTGTTGTGGGTGTAGCTGTAGATTTGGTGTATTGCAGAGGAGGTTAGTTTAGGATCCTCCTATGTCATCATCTTGAACTGGATGTTCAGCTTACAAGACCCAGTAAAGGGTAGTAGAGGGAGTTTTATTGCACTTCTTAAGGAACCTTTAAGTATTTTGGTACAGTGATATTTTAAAGAAGGAAAGAAAGTAAGGAGCAGAAAGCAATTTTCTTTTGCTTTCTTGAGAACTTATTTCTACTTTTGACACAAGAAACATCCAAACCTGTAGAAAAATTTTCTGAGTTTATTTCAGCCAAACTGATGACAATGGCCCGAGCGCAGATCTCACATACTTCAGAGAATGATAGATTTGCAGTCGTTTTTATGCATTTGAAATTATGGAGGGAATGTAAGAAAGATTACATGAAGGGGGAACAAGGAAGGTAGAGATGGATTACAGGATAGTTACTCTCTTGAGGGCGGTTATTTCAAAGGCGTGTTAACCTTGATGCCCTAAAACAATGGGCAGGGCTTGCTTAAGGCAAAGATAAAACTTTTACTAAAAAAGTTGTGTGTGGGTGTGACTACTCACCATGACCTGCCCAGTTAGGAATTTATGACCACACCACCCTGTGAGGTTACATTTCATAGAACCCACTTCTGTCCACACTCCACAAATCTTTTGGACTCATACAAATATCCAACTGATAGTATTTCCTATTCACACTGTTGTGTATATGTAATTTAAAATATACTACTGATTGAAATATAAATATGCATATGATGTTTTCCATAAGTTTAAGATTTAGGATGCAAATGAAAACATTCTGGGTATTTTAAAAAGATAGCCAATAGAAAAAAATGTTTGACCTTTTTATAAGTGAAAAAATGTACATTTATTACATAGCCAAAACCAGACAATTAATATAAAAAGAAATCATTGTAAAAGCTGACATAAGTGGGGCCGTTTTAGAGTGGAGTCAGAGCAGCTGTTCTAGAGGAACGCCTTGCATGTTTTGCTCTTTGACCTTTGAGTGCATCTATGTTTTCCAGGGTTATATCCTCTTGTTGTATCAATCCCTTTAGTATTATGTAGTGACCTTTATTGTCTCTTGTTATGGCGTTCCTTTTAAGTCTATTTTATCAGAGATGAGTACTGCTACTCGGCTTTTCTTTAATTTTCATTTGCATGGAAAAAAATTTTCTTTCCTGTCATTCTCAGCTTACATAGCTTCTTACAACTTCTTGTAATGAAGACAAGTGGAAGCTTTCATCCTAAAAATTCCAGTGAATATACCTTAAAGTCTCCACAGTGAACTGTTTTAAATTTAATCCTGGCCACTAGCTCACTTTAGAAAACAGGGTATACCTAGAGTTAGGAAGGCTCAATCATGGTCCCTAGTTTGCTGTAGACCTTAAACCTAAAAACCTCACATAATTTTTTCTTACAATTATAATAGCTAAAGCAACTCGGCACAGATTACTTTTGTTGCAATGATAGTAAAAGCAGCTGAAACTAATTTTAGTAAAGAAATATAATTCAGGTGGCACACTAATGTAGCACATTTTAAAAAAAGATGGTATGCAATACAAACAAAAGTGGCACAAGAGTATGTCTAGAGTGAGAAAGACCAATAAATACCAAGAAACATTTAATTTACCCTTTCTTCCCTCCATGAAGACATTTGTATACACAGGTACACGTTACTGCAATGCCAACAACTAAAAAAACCAGAAAACAAATGACATGTAACTCTGAAAAATAATTTCCAAGATTCAAAATCTAGCAGAAGAAATTACTGTTGGTAACATTTCAGTGGTCAGAAATACTATTTTATTTAAGTACATGTACATTCATATTCCATCTGGACTCTTCACTATCTAAGTACAATTCCCTGGAATCGCTTAAAGAGTCCACAGTTAGAAGAGTCCTTGTTTAGTTTAGAAAATTACCTGAAGTACCGCTTGGATGAAAAGTCCTACGACTAATTATCTTGGGGAAAAAAGTATTATTTAGGGTTTGTTACTAAGTAGACATATAGAATATAAATGAATATACTATCACCAACAAAAGGTGTATAGCATATGAAAGGCCAGTTTTTCTACACTGGTTTACTTAATTTCAAGCTATAAACACTATGGAAACTGAAAAATCATTAGAAAAGAATTCCTTTCTTCACAGTAATATTTTGATTTAAGTGGTGTTCAAGTTTGAGATACTTACATATAATAATAATAATCAGAGCAATGGTTCCTGGTTCTGAGAAAAAAAATGAAAGCAGTTTTAAAGATATTGAGCACGTATGGGTCCCAGAGAGCAGCTGCATTTTACTTTTGATCAGATCATCTAAAAACCACAGCAAAAAAGTATCAATCTAGACTTAGCGTGACTGTTAGTACATCCAAGTCCCGTTGAGCAAAGAACACTTCACACAGATTCCGGCTATAGGCTGTGCCTTGTGAAACTCTTAATAGAAACATCACTTGTCATTGTTTTGTGCTGCAGTTACCACACCAGGTTACTTAGTAAAGGTTAATAGGACACTTAGAATTCACTAGATTAGAGAAAATTACTCACACCTGTCTACACATACTATTGCATTTGCTACGGTATCTGCAATACTAAAATAACTATAAATGTCAAGTATTACTAATAATTTGTGACACCTTGTCTTTTCCCTAATTACAGATAATTGGAACATAATGTATTCATGTGGAACTCTAAGGTCTCATGATAAAGAATTATGAATAACTAAACAAATACCTAATTCCACAATGTCATCAAGTGAGGTTATTTGACGAAGTTTAGAATACCCTAGGAAAAAAATGGAAATAAGTAAAAAAAAAGAACGAAAGACTAAATAAAGCTTAAAGATCTGTAACTTCATTGATTTTTATTTTTTGCATTTGTATATAACTGCTTATAATTTCATTTCCTTATAAATTAAGTTAGTTTTTTTCATTAAAGATAGAATAAAAAAATATTCAACATTTATATTGAATGGAAACATAATTCTTCTTCCTGTGTACCGATATTTCCAGTTACAATATTGTGTGGAACAGCAAGCAAATTAATCATTACTGTATTCTCAAAATTAGCCTTGAGTTCAATATGATTCTACCTTAAATTTAAAAAGAAAAGTGATTAAAAATTACTTAGAAATGATCTGTAACAAAAAACTCTTTAAAATAACAAAGGCCTTTTTGGGGGTTTTTTAAAGAAGCATACTTAACATGACAGTCAATGGTGAAACACTGAAAGTTTTTTCCATGAGATCCAGAACAAGACAGAATGCCCACATTTGCCTCCTCTTTCAACATAATATTGGAAGTGTGGGTCAGAGTAATTAGGTAAAATATAAAATAAAAAGCATCAAAATTGGCATGAAAAAATAAAATGGTCTCGACAGATGACATTGCCTTTTATGTAGAAGAACTAAAAATCACACACCCACTTCCCAACCTGATAGAACTAAGAGATGAATTTGGCAAAATTGTAGGCTATAAAATCAACATGTAAAAATCAGTAGCATTTACACACACCAAAATAAACAATCTCAAAAGGAAATTAAGTAAACAATTCTATTTATAATATCAAAATGAATAAAATACTTTGGAATAACCAAGGAGGTAAAAAATTCCTACAACAAGACAACAAAATAATGTGGAAACAAATTAAAGACATCAGTAAATAACAAGACATCCTTGTTCATGGATTAGAAAACCTAATATTGTTAAGGTGTAAATACTGCAAAAACAAACCTACAGTTGAAGTGCAACCCCTATCAAAATCGTGAGTGTGCTTTTCCCAGGAATTAAAACTCCATCCTGAAATTTATACGGAATCTTAAGGCACTCGGAATAGTCAAGGCAATCTTGAAAAAGAAGAGTGAAGTTGAGAGGACTCATGCTTCCTGATTTCAAAACTGATTACAAAGCTGCAATAATCAAAACAATGGCACTGACCTAAACAATACAGACCAATGGAATAACAGAGGGCCTAGCATACATGGTCAAGGGACTGCCCACAATGCGTTTCTAAGAACATTCTGTGGGGAAAGGGTAGTCTTTTCAACAAATGGTTTTTGGAAAACTGGAAATCCACAAGCAAAAGAATGAAGCTGGATGCTCACCTTACACCATATACAAAATTTAATTCAAAAGGGACTAAAAAACTAAATATAAGAGCTAAATCTATTGAACTCTTAGAAGAAAACAAAGGACAAGCTTCATGATGTTGGATCTGGCAATGATTTCTTGGATGTGACACCAAAAGCACAGGCAACAAAGAAAAAATAGATAAATTGGACTTCATCAAAATTAAAAACTTTTGTGAATCAAGGAGCACTATCAATAGAGTGAAAAGGCAACACACAGAATGGAAGGAAACATCTGCAAATCATATACTTGATAAGGGATTAATATACAAAACATATTAACGAACTCCTAAGTATCAACAACAAAAATCCCGACCCAATTCAAAAATGAGCAAAGGTCTTGAATGACATTTCTCCACAGAAGATATACAAATAGCAAATAAGCGCAGGAAAAGATGCTCTGCATCACTAGTCAGGGGAAGGCAGATATACCACTTACCATATTTTACCTACCAGGCATTAGGAGGGCGGTTATCAAAGAACAGAAAATAACAAATGTTGGCAGAGAGGTAGCGAAATTAGAACGTTTTTGCGTTGCTGGTGGGAATGTAAAATGGTGCAGCTGCTCTGGAAGACTAGAACACCTATGAATTTAGAACACCTATGAATTGAATGCATGATTAAACAGTTGGAGAGAAGACAATGAATTCCATAGGTGGTGTTACTTAGCCACTGAAGGGGGGCGGGTGGAGTGGAGAAGAGCCCAATCTGATCCCATATTCCATAATGAATTTCAGATATACCAAGGATTTAAATGCAAAGAATGCAATCAGAACACATGGTGGAAATGTTTACATAACTTGAAGACTTAAAGCTTTTATAAGAAAGACATACACTAAGAGCCATCAGGGAAAACACTGATATACTCGACTACCTATTAATGTAAGACTTCTGCACATGTAACTGACCACTGATAGGAGAATAATAAAATAAAATATGGTATATAGTAAAGCTGTCATTAAAAAGAATGTAAATAAATCTAAATACAACACCAATCTAAGACAGTAAGTGTAAAATGTGAGAGTTTTAGAAAAATATGAACATCACGATTCTATTTCTGGTTAACAAAAATGAAAAGTGCCAAAGTATGTATAACTACACAGATAAGGATACTGATGTATCCTGACACATAAGAAATAGGACACCTGAATTACTAACAGCGATTAACTCAGACAATGGACCAGAGAAAAAGGGGAAGAACTAATTTTTTACTCTGTATACTTTTGTAATGTTTGAAAATTTACAAAAATACATTTGTATACTACTCATAACAAAAGGTATAAAGAAACATCTATGTCCAATAGCATACTATAAAAATCTTAAAAGAAAATGAACTAGTAAAATTAAGGCAAAACAAAAAACAACCACCCTGGAAAAGATGTTCACTATATATTAAAAGGTCTTTACTTTATAATGAGTTCCCACATTCACCAAAATAACATTTTAGAAACCCAACAGAAAACTGAGCAAAGGATATGAGTACATAAATGTACACAAAAAAGGTTCAGCCTCATTAGTGATTAAAGAAATGCAAATTAAAAGACATGACTTTTCACCCATCAGCCTACAAAGTTCTTAACTATTTATATAGTTAAAGAGTTCATGAACTGTACTACCAAGCTAAAGAGTTCATAAACAAACTGTACTACCAAGCTAAATAGAGGCATACTCATCCACAGAGACCAGGGGGACAGCCCCGTTTGCTGGGGGTAGGGGAGGGGGTTGTAGGGATTGAGCTTTTGAAAAAAAAAAAGAAAGAACTCATGCATATGGACAACAGTGTGGTGATGGAAGGGGAAGGGGAGTGGGTAGAGGTGGAAGGGGGTATAGAGGGGATAAAAGGTAATGGAGGGAAAACACTAAAAAGTTACTGAACCTAGATATCCTGAAAATGGAGACTTGGTTGAAGCAGACGTGAAACCTGGAAAAATAAATTTTATTCCATTCATCAGTCTTATCAATAAAATTATACATTTAACTTAATTTCTTATTTTTTAGAAAGATTAATTATTCCTCAAAATTAAATATATGCATACTTTCCAAACTTTGCATTTCTACTTCTGGGAACATGACCTAAATGTGTATTTACACAGGTGCATATATTGTGTATATACATATAAGAATGTTCACTACAATTTTATACTTTATAATGAAAACCCTAGAAGTTAGCTAAAAACATATCATAAAAATAATGTGTTCAGCATAAACATATGTGTTTAAAATGTAGCATTATTCAGGTAGTATCATACCAAATAATTTATATCATTTTCTTTTCTGCTTAATATTTCATGAACATTTTTTTCATAGCACAATCACATCTACTTTATCACCATTACATGTTGCTATTGGTCCTTTGTGTCTAGTTTTTCTCTAACTAGTGATAAAAATTGATTAATGATTCCATGAGGAATTATGAATTTTTTAAAAGATCCTTGCCATTTTCCCTCTTCATAAGCTTTTTCTCACAATCAATTCTCTTCTTCTTTCAAACATTAAATTGTATCAGTGTTTTATAAACCCTTTATGAACTCTCATGGTCAACTCTTTCAAAAGGGCATATGGATACACACAGTATCCCACAGTGCAAATACCCACTAGGACCATGTGAGTAAACACAGATGGGTCAATGAGTATAAACGTCACATGCAATCTTATGTGTCAGTCCACCAAAAATCATCTCTTCTCACCCCCACCCCAAACCTCAGAGCACTCAACTAAGGTACTCAAGGAGGCTACCAGGTACCAGGTACACAGGGATTATAAAAAGGTGTTCTAATTACCATGTTACATGCACAGCTCCCCTCAATCCTTTAAAGTCTTAGGACAACAGAATATATACAAGCAAGTTAGAAGCCAGCGACTGAGATTGGATTTCAACACCCTCATTAAACAATAGGACGTGAAAGCCCAAGGACAGGATGTTCCATGAGTGAGCAGAACCAAACTAGGGCCCAAGTGAGGTGAGCCCACGCTCCTGATCTTCCCACTATTCCTCTTGCCTCTTGATTCTGCTGAAACCAAAGAGAAGCCAGAGCCAGCAGCACTGAAATGAGGAAGGCAGTTCCCTCCACCGCATGGCAATGATCTCTCAAGTCTTCAGCAGAGCGGTTGAGGAGTCCAGGCCACAAGTCCTCCACTGCATTTCTATAAGTAATGACTTCTCCTGCCTTTCTTCAGTTGGTATGAAATTTAGTTTCTGTTGCCAAATAGAAATGCCCAGTAAAGAGAAAAATATAATTGTATGAGGTGAAGTGGGTGGGGGAGGTGGCAGCAGAAACACCAGTTTTCTGGAGACAGCAGAAATCGCCCAGTTCAAATTGTACTATGTAAGAAGAACTAAACTTGCAGTCTGGGAAATGAAGCATCGTCCTGGACCAGGAAGGTACCTTTAAATGTGTCAACAGATCACTTCTAAAGTGAATTAAAAGAGCAAAGTCGGTGACACAAAAAACATACCTATTAGAAAGCACACACCACAGACCTCCCCCTTCACTGACATCAACTGCAGTGATGGTGTCAGTCACAGAGGAGCTTCCGTTAAGAGGCTACTATGCGCCAGGCACTGTGCTAAGTGGTCTAAGTGCAACCAATTGAAGCTGCTTACCCAGGAAGGAAGGCATTAAAGCACTTAAGTGTAAGTAAACACATTTGAAGCTTAAGTAACTTGCCCAAGTTTACATCCCTGTTTACATTTGCAGACTAGAGCAAATAAGTTTAGAATCAGTAACAACTAAAATGGCTATAAATATGTTCTCCCTCCTTTTATTATTAAAAGTGATGAATGAGTGTAAATAACATGAATTTAAAAGATTTTCGTAAAATATAAGTAGGATGTCACTAAATTTGGATGATTTAAAATAAGAGGTTTTGACATTGAAAGACATAATAACGTAGGATCAATCACTAGGAAACTATCACTTTCTTTTCATTTATATAAATTATGACTTTCATTCTTATTTAGGTAAAAATTCCCATGATTCATTCAATTTATCCTGAAAAAATGGCTGCTAACCATTTTTATACATAAAAGTACCGAACAAGAGAAATTTATATACCTATGTAATGTACATAACGTGCTAAGAACCCTATGAACACAAACAAAATCACAACAGCAAAATTCTGTATGAACTTTACGTCATACGTCTGTCATGGACAGGAATAGAAGACGGTTAATTACTAAAACTGCTTCTTTTCAATTATTCTGTATGATTGATATTTAATGTCAAAGAACTAAAACCTTAAAAAACAGAATATGATACAATATGTACCTTTAATACACGCTGGCTTCTCAGGCTCCCAAGTACTGTTTCCACCACAGAACACTGGGTTACTGCTGTTAAGGTAGAAACCCTCCAGGCATTCAAATAAAAACTCCTCTTTGTAGAAAAAAGTTCCTTTCATTTCTGATACTGGTTTTCCATGTTTTAGTTCTGGCGGCCTACATCGGACCACTAAGAATAGAGAAATTCCAGAATTGATAGAAAGTTGCTTTAGCATAGTACCAGAAAAAATAGTGCAAAGTAGCAATTTCCAGTGGAAAGAGACAAGGAATGAAAGACAAGATGTTAATTTTTTGAAAAAGACTTTTTTTTTGCATTTTCATTCCAGGAAAACAAATTTAGGGAAATCTAATAACTTTTTTCCCACCTAGAACAGTCATTATAGTTTATTGGTTTCATACGTATTTTTCTACTGCCAATTTTGAGAAAAGTCTACCAGATACAAATTCTGGGTATGTTCCAGTGCAAGTTTTGATACCCTTTAGCTCTAGAGATTTTTAAAAATTTCATGCTGACACTGATTACAATGTCTTGTCCTTTCAGAAAGGCAGGAAAGACTCTTGTGGGAAGGAAATAGTTGAGGTGAAATTTAAATGCTGCAAAGAAGCTAGGCATGCAAAGATGTGCAAAGAAAAAGTTCTCAGATAGCAACAATATGTATGAACTGTATTGTTCAAGAAATAGAAAGGCCAATGAAGTTAGGGCCATGTTTTCCAAACATTTTAAACTGCAACCCAGAGATTAAAAGAAACAAACAAACAAAAAACACACGCACAAAATTTAGGTTGTAAACCATTATATAAGCACAGTGCTGAGATAAAGTTAAAAAGTAATACTCAGACTTCATACTAGTGTGCTCTGGTATTTCCTATTCTACTCTGCTTCTCAAGATATAAAATGCTGGTCATGACCTTTTAGGTTGATTTGCAGAATGCAGTAATGTGTTTGGAAGAATTTGGAAAAAAGAAAAAAAAAAAAACATTGGGCTGGGCAAAAAGTACAAGGGAACATTTGCTGAGGTTAAATCCGAGTACTACATAAGGACCCATAACCTGCAGACTTTTAAATCAGCAGTGTGCTCTTTCTCACCTATGGATCTGAATTTCCATCAGATATCTTTTCCCTTCAGCCTGATGTACCTCCTTTACCAATTCTTGCACTGAAGGTCGGGCAATGACAATTCTCTTAGAATTTTTTTTCTGAAATGTTTTTATTTCACCTTCAGTTTTAAAGATTTCTCCTTTACAGATATTTTTAGGTTGTTTTATTTTCCTTTCAGCATATTATCAAATATTGTCTTCTACTAGCCAGTTTCTTAAGAGAAACCAGCTGTCATTCTTACAGGGGTGGGGTAAATGAAGTATTTCTCTTCTCAGTGGTTGGTTTTCCTTTTACATTTTTAAAAAAATACTTTTTATTTTTAAATATATCTTTATTGATTTCAGAGAGAGGAGGGGGGAGGGGGAGAGAGAGATAGAACCATCCATGATGAGAGAGTCATTGATCAGCTGCCTCCTGCATGCCCCCGACTGGGGATTGAGCCCGCAACCCGGACATGTGCCCTGACCGGGAATCGAACCCTGATCACCTGGATCCTAGGTCGATGCTCAACCGCTGAGCCATGCCCGGCCAGGCTCCTTTTACATTTTGTTTTCAATAGTTTTGCCATGATGTGTTTAGTTTAGTGTGTGTGTGTGTGTGTGTGTATTTTATAAATTTTAAAAAAATGTATTTATCTTGCTAGGTTTACTAAATTTCCTGGACTGGTGGCATTGCTGTTTTAGATAAAATTTCAATATTTTTGGTCTGTATTTATTCAAGTAATTTTCTACATTATTCTCTCCTTTCTTTCTGAAACTCCAGTTAAATGTAAGTTTAACTGCTTGCTACTCTTGCACAGTTCTGTAAGTTTCTCTCTTTACAATCTTTTCAAATCATGTTAGATTTGCATTGTCACGACTTCAGGTTCACCCATTTTTTTCACTGTTGTGCCAATCTGCTGTTAACTTAACCTAATGATTTGCTTTTATATTAGGCTTACTGGCTATAATTCCCATCCAGTGAAATTCATCCTTTTAATTGCATAGCTGTATTAGTTTTTTTAAAAAAATATGTTCTTATTGATTTTAGAGAGAGAGGGAAGAAGAGGGGAAGAGAGAGAGAGAGACATTGATGTGAGAAACATTGATTGGCTGCCTCCTGCATGGCCCCTACTGGGGATGGAGCCTGCAACCCAGGCATTTGCCCTGACCAGGAATCAAATCAGCGACCTATTGATGCATGAGATGATGCTCAATCAACTGAGCCACATCAGCCAGGACACACATGTATTAGTTTTAACAAATGCTAATAATCATGTAATTACCACCATAATAAAAACATATAAAGGTTCCATTATCTCCCAATACTTCCTCATGCCACAGTATGATCAACATCTAGTCCCTGCACCAATTAGCCGACCAAGGCTCTGGTGGTGGTGTTTTTTTCTGTTTTTTTCTTAAAAGTTTTTATTGATTTCAGAGATTGGAAGGGAGAGGGAGAGATAGAAACATCAGTTATGAGAGAGTCATTGACTGGCTGCCTCCTGCACTACCCGGTACTGCGGATTGAGCCCACAACCTGGGCACGTGCTCTGACTGGGAACCAAACCGTGATCTCCTGGATCATAGGTCGATGCTCAACCGTTGAGCCATGCTGGCTGGGCCAAGCCTCTGTTTTAATCTCTATTGTGTTACTTTTCCAGAATATCATGAATGGCATCATATCCTTCTGAGTATGGCTTATTTCTCTAAGCAAAATACATTTGAGTTTCATTCCTGGGGTTGCATGATTCAGATTTATTGCTGTGTATTTATACGATTGTATGGATGTACCACAGTTGTTCATCCATTTACCAGTTGAAGAACATATTGGTGGTTTCCAGTGTGGGATGATTACAACTAAGGTGGCTATGAATATTCTCATACAGGCTTTTATGTGAACATGTTTTCATTTTACTTGGATTTCCAAGTTGTATGGCAAGTGTATTTAAAACTTCACAAGAAAATGTAGAACTGGGTTCCAAAGTGGTCATACCACTTACTTAGCAGCAATGTATAACAGTTTTCATTGCTCCATATCCTTGCCAGTACAGGTTATTTCTAGACTTTTGTATTTTATGTCAGACTTTGTAAAAATTTGTTTTTATTGACTTGAAGAGAGGAAAGGAGAGGGAATGAGAGACATCAATGAGAGCAATTTCAATGGGCCACCTCATGCACACACTCTACTGGGGATCAACACTGCAACCCTAGCATGTGCCCTGACTGGGAATCACACCATCAACCTTTCAGTGCATGCCCAACTAACTGAACCACACTGGTCAGGGCTATGTCAGACATTTTAAAAGGTGTTTAGTGGCACCTATTTGTGGTTTTTTTAAATTACATGTTTGTAATTATTAATAATACTGAGTGAATTTTCATTTTTACTTACTTTTTAGTCATCCGTATATTATGTTTGGTGAAATAGGTATATTCAAATCTTTTGCCTATTTAAAATTTGGATTGTTCTCTTATTGTTGAGCTTTCAGAGTTCTTTATATATTGTAGAAAGAAGTTCATTACTAGATGTGAGCTTTGCAAATATTCTCTCCCTATTTATTGCTTTGTTGTCATTCTCTTAACAGTCTTCAGCAGATCAGAGGTTTTGAGTTTGGAACACCCAGTATATTAAAATTTCTGAAAGAATCATGAGTTATAGGTTGTATTTAAGAAATCTTTGGCAAATATTTCCTAAGTTTTCTTGTAAAATTATTTAGTTTTAGGTTTTACATATAAATCTATGACCTATTTTGAGTAAATGTTTGCACATAGTGGTAACATAGGTTCTGTTTTTTTTTCTTTTCCAATATGGAAGTCCAATTGTGCCTGTACCATTTTTAAAAAGATTATTTTTCCAAAGAATTGTTTATGTATCTGAGATAAAAATCAACTGGACAGCCTGGCTGGGTGTGGCACAGCAGTTGAGCATCGACCTGGGATCCAGGCGATCGGGCTTCGATTCCCGGTCAGGGCACATGCCCGGGTTGTGGGCTCGATCAATGACTCTCTCATCATTGATGTTTCTCTCTCTCTCTCTCTCCCCCTCTCCTTTCCTCTCTCTGAAATCAATAAAGATATATTTAAAAAAAAGGAAAAAAAAAAGAAAATCAACTGGATATATTTGCAAGGGTCAAATTCTGGATTCACTATTTTATTCCATTGCTCTATATAGCTCTCCTTTTACAAATACCACATTGTCTTGATTTTATGCCTTATGGCATGCTTTATATAAACTATTGACATCAGCTAGAGTGCATCTTTCAATTACATTCAAAATTCTTTTGACTGTTCCAGTTCTTATTACATATAAATTTTAGGATCTGTTTATCAATTTACAAAAAGTTTTGCTGGGCTTTTTATTGGGATTGTGCTGAATTTATAGATCAAACACAGAGAATTCATGTCTTTATTATACAAAGTCTTCCAATCAATGACCAATGTATATCTCTTCATATATTAAAGCCTGTCTTAATTTCCTTTATTAGTGCTTGGTAGTTTTTAGCATTCAGATCTTGTCACATATATTGATAGATTTATATAAAAGTATTCTGTGTATTGGAAGTGTTGTAAACAGCAATTTTAAAATTTCAATTTCTAGTGGTTTACTCTTAGTGTATAGACATACAATTAATTTCTGCAAGTTGATCTTGTATTTTGCAGCGTTGCTAAACCTAAAGTCTTTGGAAGTTTTTACACAGACAATAATGTCATAAGTGAAGAGGCTATTTTATTGCTTCCTTTCAAATTGGTATTCCTATTTTCTTTGTTGCCTTGTTGTAGGACCTCCAGTACAGTGCTGAATAGAGTGGTGAGAGTGAGTATACTTCCCTGGTTCCCACCCTGGGAGAAAATAAATTAGTCTTTTACCATTAAGAATAATGTAAGTGTGAGATTTCTGTAAATGCCTTTTACCAGGTTGAGATATTTAGTTTTCTTCTATTCCTAGTTTGCTCAGAAGTCCTATCATGAAAAGATGATGAGTTCTGTCAGTTGCTTTTCTGGGGCATCTAATAAGATGATCATATGCTGTTTTCTTCTTTACAGTCTCTTGATATTGTAAATTACACGGATTAATTTTTGAATTTGGATCAACCTTGCATTTATGGAATAAATCCTAATTGGTTATGATGTATTATTAGTGTTATATATGGCAGGATTTGATTTGTGGATATTTTGTTTAGATGTTTTGGTTCTATATTCACTAAGAATACTGTTTAATTTTCTTGCAATGTTTTTGTCTGGTTTTGGTATCACACTAATGTCCTTATGAAATAAGTTGAGAAGTATTCCCTTCTCTTATATTTCGTGAAGAGTTTGTGTAGAGGTGCTAATGTTTATTTCTAAAATGTTTGGTAGAATTCCCCAGGTAGGCCATCTGGGTCTACAGTTCTCATTGAGCGAAGGTTTTAACTGTTTCTATACAGGCTATCTATATCTTTGAGTAGTTTTGGAATTTTGTGTCTTAAAAAATTTTTTTGATTGTAAGACCACCTTGTTGGGCTACTACCATTCTACTAGCAAAAAAACTGAGCCTTAGAGAGATAAATTTAGTCAAGGTAACCCAACTAAGTGGCAGAGCAGGGTTTGGAAATTACAGTCTTTTTTCCCCCAATATGCTCCCATGGTTAAAAGTGTTTTACTGAAAAATTTGGGTGAAGATTCAAGGCCCATCTCATTGCCCTCAATTTTTTCTCTTTACCCATCCCTCCACTCTCCTCCCCTTTGGCAACCATTAGCTTGTTCTCTGTATCTATAGTTGGTTTCTGTTTGGTTTGTTAATTTGTGTTGTTGTTTGACATTCTGCATATAAGTAAAATCATATATCTTTCTTTTTCTTTCTGATTTCACTTAGCATAGTACCTGCTAGGTCCATACATGTCACGAACGGAGAGCTTTCATTCCTGTTTCTTGCTAAGTCAGGCTCCCTGTGTGTGCCACGTTCTCCTTACCCACTCACCTATCAGTGGGCACCAGAAATTTGTTTCTTTCAAGGAATTTGTCAATTTCAGGTAAGTGGTGCAATTTATAGCCATAAAGTTTTTCATGTAATATTCTCTTATTCCTTATGTCTACAGGATACTCAGTGTCGTCTTTTTCATTCTTGATACTGGTAATACTGTCTTTTTACTTGTCATTCTAGCAACAGGTTTATCTACTTTATAATTCTTCACCAAGAAGCACGTATTAGTTTCATTGCTTTTTCTCTATTATTATCTTTTCAATTTCACTGATTTTTAGCTTTATTACCCCATCTCCTTGTTTTGAGTTTACCCTTCTTTCTTAGTTTCTTAAGGTGAAAGTTCCAGATTATTGATTTATTTTTTCTACTGTACTTTATGCTCTAAAATTTTCTCTAAGCAGTATTTTTGCTGTATCATACAAATTTTGATATTTTGATTTATGTTTTCATTTTTATTGAATTCAGAACACTTTCTATTTTTTGTGAGTTCTTTGACTCAAGGTTTAGTTAGACGTTTTCCATGGTTGTCAAATACCAGTCATATAGCACTTGACAGCGAGGATACGTTCTGAGAATTGTGTCATTAGGCGATTGCATCACCGTGTAGACATCATAGAGAGTACTTACAAAATCCTAGATGGGATAGCCTACTACTGTAATATGACTGACAGCGCAGTAGGTTTGTTTACACCAGCATCACCACAAACACATGAATACTACACTGTGCTGGGACAGGATTTCCTAGGTGACAGCAATTTCTCAGCTCCATTATAATCTAATAGGACCACCATCATATATACAGTCCATCACTGACTGAAACGCCTATGAGGTACATGGCTGAATTTGGAGATTTAAAAAATTATCTGTTTTAATTTCTAAATTTATTCCAATATGATCAGATACTGTACTCTGGTTTCAATAATTTTAAATTTTAAAAAATTATCTTATTGCCCAGAATATGGTCTATCCTAGAGAATGTTCCGTATACACTTGTAAAGAGTAAATATTTTGTTGTAATTCAGTGGTCCCTTTCTTCCAAAAGTCAAATCCTCTTCACTATCTCCTGGGTTTTGGTTACTCTCTAGTGCCTTAAACACTGTTTTTAAAATATGTATGTAGAGTTTATCATTATTATAGGTAAGAGAGCTAGTCTTTTACAATTGACTCCACCATTAACTATTGCTATATCTCTCAGATGATTTAATATAAAAAAAACTTTCTTGTGTGTTGAGTTTTACATTGTTTCAAGCAAAAAAATCCTAATGTATGCATGTACACAGTAGTTCTCATTGTATAAAGTGGAATGCCAAGAACATGTTGGGGGGAGTGGCTTCTACAACTAGAACTGTTAAAAGTTAATTTAACAGGAGGAGGAGGCACATAGGTCTGTTTACTTATATGTAGAACTATCTACAAAGTGTTTCCAGTGTATNTTATATGTAGAACTACCTACAAAGTGTTTCCAGTGTATTTACAAATGCATAAGAAAATAAATGGAAATATCATTACCTTTACATTCAGGAGGGTCGCTACTCCATTTGCCAGGCCCAGAACAAGTTAGCCTGTTCTCTCCAACAAGTGAATATGCCTGTGGTCCATGTGAAGGATTACAACTATAAGTTACTCCTTCATTAAATTCAAATACACCCCTCCAGCTATTTGTGAATTTTCCATTTTTTATTTTTCCCGGAGCTTTACACAAAATCTCTTAAAAAGAGAAAAAAAAAGGAAATGAGATGAAAAAGGGAAGATGAAAGAGCAAGACAACATTTAATAAAATCCTATGAACTGTCTTCAATTTCGTTAACATATGATTTCTACACTGTAGTTGTGAATCCAGTGTCCATTCAGAATGTTTCTATGAGAACGTGTGTTACCCCAAAGNTCCATTCAGAATGTTTCTTTGAGAACGTGTGTTACCCCAAAGTCAAACCATGTAGAAATGAACTTTCAAAAGAAAACTGATTTTCTTAAATCCCGACATGAAATACCTACATTTTTCTATAAGGCTAAGTTTTGTTCTAATCATCATAAGACAGTTGCTGAAAATCTAAGGAGAAAATATGCATGTGATTAAAGATAAAATTCACTGCTAGTTGAAAAACGCTTTATAATTTGTAAATATATCCATTTGCTAAGTCATTGGTTCAAAATTGTACTAAGATATTGTCTTTTTTCACTTTCAACCTTACAAGTGTACAGTGAAATTTTCCAGAAGCTACAATTTGTGTTATTTCATAACAGACTCAATCTAGTATCTTCCTTTAAGCCAGATTTTGAAGAGATTTATAAAAATGTAAAACAATGTTACTATTCTAATTGTTTTGGAAATTTTAAAATTATTTTATAAAAAATACATTGCATATTTTAACATGCATCTTTACTGTTTTTAAAATATAAATTATTATTTTAGAAACTTCTGTTTTCATTCCAATATAATGAGTATCAGTAGACATTACCCCACATAAAGTAGAGTTCTTTGAGATCTTTATTAATTTAAAAACATAAGGGTGGTGCCCTAGCCGGTATCGCTCAGTGGTCAGAGTGTGGGCCCACAGACTGCAGGGTCGCAAGTTCGATTCCAGCCAAGGGCACGCACCTCGGTTGTAGGCTTAATCTCCGGTCGCATGAGTGCGGGAGGCAACAAATCAATGTGTCTCTCTCACACTGTCTCTCTCCCTCTCTCCCCCTTCCACTGTCTCTGAAAAAGCAATGTTAAAAAACAAAGGCCAAAACAACAGTGTTGGCAAGTATGTGGAGAAAAGGAGCCTCTTTGCACTGTTGGTAAGACTAAATTGCTGCAGCCACTATGGAAAACAGTTGCAAGGTTCTTCAAAATATTAAAAATAAATGTACCATATGACCCAGCAATTCTACTTCACTTGTGGATATTTATCAGAAGAAAACAAAAACACTAATTCAAAAAAATATATGCACTCCTAGGTTCATTGCAACATTATTTATAATAGCCAAGGTATGGACACAACCTAGATGTCCATCAATTGATGAATGGATAAAAAAGATGTGAGATATATATCTATATGTATTTATGTATACATTTATAATATAAATATACATCCATATACAATGAAATATTACTCAGCCATAAAGAAGACTGAAATCTTGTCATTTGTAACAACACTGATGGACCTAGAGGGTATTATGCTAAGTGAAATAAGTCAGACAGAGAAAGCAAACACCATATGATTTCACTTATATGTGGAATTTAAAATAAGAATGCAAACAAAACAAAACAGAAATAAACTCATAAATACAGAGAACAGATCGTTGTGGAGTAAAGGGGGCTGGGAAGATGAATAGATAAGGAGAAGGGGAGTAAGAGGTACAGACTTCCAGTTATAAAATCAGTCAGGTCACTTGATATAATGTACAGCACAGGGAATATATTAAATAACAATGTAATAAATTTGTATGATAACAAATGGTTATTAGACTCATCATAGTGATTACATTGTAAAGCACATAAATGTTGAATAACTATGTTGTACACCTGAAACTAATATAATATTGTATGTCAACTATACTTTAATTTCAAAAAAATCTGCTAAGTGGGCCCCAAGGCCAAAAATACTGGTAATTGCTGGTCTAAATTCTAAAGTGAAAATTTACTTACTTTCACATTTTGGGATATCATGGCTCCAATGCACCTTGTCTCCAGAAAGTTTACAAGTTAGAATTGGTTCACCTATTAAGTAATAACTAAATAAAAAAAAAGTTACTGTTTTCTTTACCAGTTAATTAGGTGTACATAATAACGAAGAAAATTTCATGTTTTCTGCACTTCAGTCAGTTGAGGGGAAATTTTCTTAAATGGCATAATATAATGAAAGTGTTAACCAAATATGGAATTTAATGAAACAGTTTCTGCATTTGAACACACATTGGCCATGAGCAAGGATATCTTAATAAACCTGTCATGGCTGTCAGTCTGGCCTCTTTGCTATCTCTGCCATAACATACAGATTAATTTCCATGCCTCTGCTCCTTCCACTCTGCTCAGTCATACAACAACCAAGTACAGAGATCAGGCCCTAGAGCTTGCCTGAGTGGATTCAAGTCCCAGCTCCACCACTGTCTTGTTACTTGAGGTTGGCCAAATCCTTAATGTTTCTCTTTAAGGAGATAATAGTATGGATCTCATGGGGTTGTTTTCAGTATTAGCTGAGTTAGTGTCTGGCACACAGGGAGTGCCAGGTAAGTTTTAGCTGTTATTAATACTGGCATACCTCAGAGATATCACGGGTTTGGTTCCAGACCACGACAATCAAGTGAGTATCACAAGAACTCGAATTATACCACTTTCTAGTTGGTCAGTGCATATCAAGCTATATTTATACTATACTGTAGTCTACTGAGTGTGCAATAGCATTATGTCTAAAGAAACAATGTATACCTTAATTAAAAATGCTTTATTGCTAAAAAATGCTAATCATCATTTGAGCCTTCAGTCAAGTTGTAACTTTTTTGCTGGAGGAGGGTTATGCCTTGATGTTGATGAAAATGCAATATAGGTGTAGAGCAATAAAGCAAAGCACAATAAACCAAGGCATGCATCATGTATTCTTTAAATCAGAATATGTTTCTAGGAACAGTTCAGACATACTGCTTGTTGAAACCTTCTCCAATTATTTAATTTCACAGTACTCTCTCCTGGATTCTCACTGCAATAATCATGGTACTTCTCCTTTACTATTTTGCCTTGACATTTCTCTGTATATAGTGTGTTTCTCCATAAGGCTACAATTTCTGTGAGAAAAATCTGTGTCTTAAATGTTTGGCACCCCTCAAAATGCTTTAGCAGTCCCTGTGTGCTAACTATTAAATGGATATTCCATTATTTTTACTTGATTAAGTTAAAAAAGTTAGTGAAACGGCTTGTATATAGTTTCAGTTGGCTTTTCCAAGAAGACTCACTCATTTTCTCCATATTTTAGTGTTTTAAGAGAGAATTCTGAGAAGATGGCAGAGTAGGAAGCACTAGGACTCTGTCTCCCCAACCAGACAACAATTTCAATGGCAGAATCTGCTTAATGTAACTATTTTTGAACTCTGCAGTCTACTGAAGGCTTGCAACTGCCAGGGGAATACTCCAACAAATAAATGTAATTTCAGTAAATTTTAGCTCTTAAGAGCAGCTACCCCCCTCAAAAATACTCTATCCAGCAAAACTGTTTTCAAAAGTGAAGGGGGAATTAAGATAGTCGTAGGTAAACAAAAGCTAAAGGAGTCTGTGGCCACTACAACATCTCTGCAAGAAATTCTCAAGGGTGATCTCCAAGGTTAAATAAAAGGACAGTAGAAAATAACTGTGACACACATGGAGAAATAAACATCTTATTAAAGGTAAATATATGGGCTATTATAAAAGTGTGTATTATTGTAACAATGGTTTGTAACTGTAAATTTTGTTTTCTTCACAATTTAAGAGATAATACATTTAAAGAAAAAAATATTAGTGTGAAAACTAGTAGTACTGTAACTTTGTTTTTTAATGACAAATATTATTTTTTATATAACTTAAGAGAAAATGAATTTAAAAGAACTATTAATTTATACTTTGGGACACACAATATATAAAGATGCATTTTTGTGACAGTAACAACCAAATAGAGTGGGTTTGAAGCTAGAAAGGATTTAAGCTTTTGTTTTTTAAGCTGGTATAAATTCTAATTTAGATTGATATAACTTTAGGATTTTATTTTATTTTATTATTATTATTATTTAATATATCTTTATTGATTTCAGAGAGAGGAAAGAAGAGGGAAAGAGAGAGACAGAAACATCAATGATGAAAGAGTGATTGATCAGCTGCCTCCTGCACGTCCCCAGCAGGGGATCCAGCCTGCAACAGGGCATGTGCCCCGACTGGGAATCGAACCTGGATGGCCTGGATCATAGGTCGACGCTCAGCCGCTGAGCCACGCCCGGCCGGGCTAACTTTAGGATTTTAAATGTAATCCCCATGGTAACCACAAATGAAATAGCCATAGAATATACACAAAAGGAAAACAGAAAGGAATTTAAACATTCCATTACAAAAAGACAACTAACCAAAAAGAAAGACTGTAATACAGGAAATGAACCACTAAAACTATCAGGCATATAGGAAGCAAATATCACAAAGACAGAAGTCTCTCCTTGTCACTAATTAGTTTACATTTAAATGACAAATGCTCTAAATAAAAGAGGTTGGCAGATGGACAAAAACACATGATCCTGTTAGTATGCTGTCTATAAGAGACTCCCTTGGGATCCAAAGACAAGATCAGGTTGAAAGTAAATTGATGGAAAAAGATATTCCATGCAAACAGTATCCCAAATAGATCAGGGGTGTCTATATTAAAATCAGATAAAACAAACTTAAAATAAAAAAGTTTACAAGAGACAAAGGACCTTAAATACTAATAAAAGGTACATATAACAAGCAGATGGAACAATTATAAACATTTTTGAACATCTAATGACAGATCATCAAAATATATGAAGCAAACAGCATTGGAGGAAGAAATGCACATTTCTTCATAACAGCCATTTCTACAATAATAGTTAGAGACTTCAATACTTCACTCACTCTAAAGGATAGAACAACTAGACAGAAAATATATAAGGAATTAGAGGACTCCAACAACACATTTCTGTGAGCCCTCCTTCAACTCTGAGAATTGTTTTGTGTTTTTTTAAATAGG